CGCCCATCTATGGGTCAGGTAGACCAGAAGATCACCAGCTGATCGACCCCGACGAAAACCGTATTGGCGGTCACTAATCAGCTGGTGATCCTCAAGGTACCGGATGAGCTGGCAGTTAATAATGGATTCCATTATTTTGGAGAACAAGGAGGTGATCGCGATAGGCCTATAGTTGGATGGGTCTGAGCGGTCGCCTTTTTTAGGGATCGGGTGGACAAAAGCTATCTTCCATGAATTCGGGACTACGCCTTGAGAGTAGGAGTACCGGAAAAGACGCGTTAGGACCGGTGCCAACTCCGGAGCACACGTCCTCAGCACAATTGGGGGGATTCCGTCAGGCCCACTCGACTTCTGGATGTCCAAGGAGAGCAGTGCTTTGCGAACCGAGCGCTGTAAGAACAGCACATCCGGCATGGAGCACTCACACCGCGGGATGGTCGGCGGTGTTTTCCCCCCGTCATCAAGAGTCGAGTTGGACGCAAAAAGGGAGCCTAAAAGGTCGGCTTTGTCTTTTGCGTCATGGGCCAGTGAGTCATCCTCCCTGTGCAGAGATGGTAGTGATGGCTTACAGAAATTCCCTTGGACAGCCTTGGCGAGAGACCAGAATGCACGGGTTCCCGAAGGAAGGCGAACTAGTTTCTCGCCAATTCTGCCTATGTGCTCTGACTTTGTCCTGGCAATAACTCTTTTGAAGGACCTGGAGGCGAAGTTATACTTCTTTTTAAGTGTGCTGGTGTTTACATCCCGAGTCGCCGAAGCCGCAGCCCAGGCTTGATAACACTCCTGCTTACTGCGTAAAGCAGTCTTACAGGAGCGACCAAACCAAGGCTGAGATCTGCCTCCGATGGGTACCACAGATGATGGAATAAATAGTTCCATTCCCTGTAGCACCACATCAGTGACAGAGTCAGCAACAGCGCTGGGATCGTCCGGCGAGAAGCAAACCCGCCCCCATGGGTAGGATGCAAAGAAAGACCGCATTCCGTCCCAATCCGCCGACCTGTAATGCCAAACACGGCGGCAACCTGCAGAACGCAACCGCGAAGGGAGCGTGAGTGGCACCACACTCCGGATCATACAATGGTCCGAAGAGCCGAGAGGGGCATCGACGGAAACCTGATATCCGTCCGGATGAGAGGTCAGCAGAAGGTCCAACAGGGAAGGTGTATGATCCTCCACATCTGGAATCCGCGTAGGCGAAGTAACCAGTTGTGTCAGACCATATGCCAAGACAAAGCCATAAACAGATCTCCCCGCATGATCGGTTAGACGTGAGCCGAGCCATTCGGCATGGTGGGCGTTAAAATCGCCAAGGATCACGATCTCTGTGGATGGGACCTGTTGTAGCAAGGAATCTGTAACCATTTGGACGTGGTCGATGAGTCGGTCTGTTTCGGCATTACCGCTATGGGACCTATAGAGGCACCCGTAGACGCGCGGATGGTCGTCGCTGTCTACGCGTAACCAAAGGATGGACAGGTCCGAATCTTCAAGACTGCCGAGGCGTCGAGAACAGATGTCCTCTCTGACATACACGCAAACTTCAGCCCGAGGCACAAAGGAATGCTCCAATTTGTACCCCGGGTAGGAGAGATACGAAATATCAGCCGGAGAGGAAACCTGCGTCTCGGTCAGAAAGAGCAAGGCCGGCTTCGCCGTCTCGAGATGGTAGTGGACGGCGTTTAGGTTAGAGTGAAGTCCCCTGATGTTGCAGAAATTCACGGATAGCGTGGCAGGGGTCGCCTTGGTGTTCTTGCTCAGTTTGCCCCTAGCAGTTATGCTTTTGAGCGGAATTTTGCCCCCCCCCCCCCAGAATACGCGGGGCAGCCTGAGCACCCACGCTCAGGATCGGAATAACATGGTCGTGGATGCTCAGCGAGGGATTCTCCAGGGGTATTGGTACCCTCCTGGGGTATTTCATCGTGTAATTCCGCTACCATGTCGATGGGGGGGGGGGGGGGGGGGGAATTGGGCCTCCGGCCACCTGCACTCACAAGACGAAACGCAGAAGCAGAGCTTCTACTTCACGCCGGTATTCTGTGAGGTCGTGGTACCAACCCGGCTCGAGCCGGCCCATACATGCAATAGCAAAAACTGCTGCGTGGCTCTACCACCGTTAAAAGTTAAGTCTGCTTAGCTGTGATAGTTTTCCTTTTATCTTCATTATATATACTACTATCGTGTATACTTTTCACGTTTTTAAAACAGTGGTTTGTTGGTAGCGGGGGCGACGCATGACTAATGAAGAATACCACTTGAAAGCTAAATATTTCGAAAACGGAACGAGGTAAAGTTATTGTTCCACATCTCCAGTGTTTTTTTTGAAAGACCTCTCCAATGATACACTGTTTGATACTGAGTCAGTTGTTACACCATCGTCTGATAATTCCATCACTTCCATTGTTGGCTTAATTTCGATATCAGAAACAACTACGGATTTCTTACTTTCCGTGTCGTAAATTGATATAGCTGATGGTGTTTTAGGTTGCTTTTCTCTGACTGTTACAAATTCGTCGTTTAATTCTTTGACTATTTGTTTTATACGTTTATCTTCTTCGTCTATATTAGCTAGAGTTGAGTTGAGATCGTTGTCTAATATGTTTAATCTTATTCATTCAGCGCATCTGCGTTTGTGTTTTGCTATTCTTTTATATATTTCATTTCAAAATCGTATTCTTCCAATCTAAGTCGCCAACGAGTCAACTTACTGTTAGGTTCTATAACGGAGTAGAGCCAAGCTAGAGGCCTGTGTTCCGTATAAGTAGTAAATTTTTTCCGTATAAATAGGGTTTGAAATGTTTTACCACCCAAACTACACCTAAGAGCTCTTTTTCTCACTTACATATACATAAACACTCACGCCTGTCACCCAGAGGGGTAGGCAGAGATTATGGACTTCCATTTGGCACGATCCTGACACACCTCTCTCGCTTCCTCCACATCCATATACCTACGCATACACGCTCGTCGGTTAAAGGTACTCTTGATTTGGCCCATTTTTAATATATCGCCAATTTGGTCGATAAACTTTCGCCTAGGGCGACCTTTCCTAGATATAGCTCTTTTTCTATAGTACTATATCTAGTTTCTGTGTAACTTAATGTCCTACTTAAGTAAGCGTATGCTACTGGTTTGTTGTTTTCAATAGTGCCCTGTGATAGAACAGCTCCAATAGCATAATTGGATGCATCGGTTGCTAATATGAAAGGTTTTTGAAAATCCGGGAATTGTAATAATGGAGCATTTGTTAGAAGTTTTTTACAGGTTTCAAAACTTTCCTTATATTCTTCATTAACACTAGAGTGCACGCGCCCTAAAATGCTCCATGAGCGCACGCGTGGGCTACAGGTGTAGACCAGTTACGGGTCAATTATTTCTTTGAATAAGACAAAACAATAAGTAAAACACAACATATAGTTACTAAACATCTTTATTTTTATCAAAATGCCTCATAAAATCTACAAAATTTTGATTCTTAATTACAATTTGAAACTTAAACATAAACTTCTTAAAAATCAACAAATATTTGGAAGGGTTGAGATCTCTTAGTCTTATTTTCATTTAGGAATGTAACATTTATCACAAAAGGCGTTTATTTCAATCTAATTGAATCTATAATCAAAGTAACGTGTAATAAATCAGTCTATTGGCTTATATTCAGGGCACACGACTGCCTGATGTTCGCTACAAATATGTCTCATACATTTGCTGCATTGCTTGCGCGTGCTACGGTCGCGAGCCCTGCTGCAAAAAGCACATCGACCAACTCCTCCATGGGAATACGCATATATTGTTGTAGGGGTTGTTCTGCCAATCCTAGAAGTAGTCTGCCTTTTAGTTTAATACCTCTGGGTATACTTTGTTGGGATATACGACGCTCAAGACCTTGCAAGATTGAATCCGACTTCTAGGAGGTATTGACGACGGATCGCTTTCATTTGAGGGTTATTCATCTCATGGCGGCTTCTCACTGCGTGTGTTATCACACGCCGCGCCGCACCAGCAGGCGCCGCGCGCAGTGTGAAGGGCTTGGCGCGGGCAGGCGTGGCGCTGCGCGCGCTATCTGGCGGCTTCTCACTGCGTGTGTTATCACACGCCGCCCGCGCCCGCACGCGCCGCGTGCAGTGTGAAGGGCTTGGCGCGGGCAGGCGTGGCGTGGCGCGCGCTATCCGTTTAAAGTCGGTAACTTCAAAAACGTGGCGCGGGCTCGCGCGTCGGTGGAACCCTCTCTGTGGAATTCGAAAAGTACAGAGCATAAAAACAAAAACGACCAGCACGATGCCTGGCTACGAATCCAAATGAATTTAAAAAATGGTACCATGCAGTTAAAAGAAATTAAGAAAAAAAAAGGATACTTTAATGGGAACCTATAGAAAATTAAGGAGCAAAGTTTCTCAATCAGTAAAGTCCGGCAGCGGTGCCGTGACTGGCCATTTTATAGTGTGATGGCCCAATTTTTGGATGATGTGTATTATCCCAGAAAAACAAAGAATTCTGAGGTAAGTACTTTATTTATTTTAAGTTATTTAGTTTTAAAATTACAAGTTACATCAATTTACAGTAAATCTCGGTTTAATTGTTAACATAGGTATTTAATATGATTAGTTATTCTTTTGATTCTTGTTCTGATATCAGAACAAAAACTAATCACATAGATATGCTCATGAGTGCATGAATAGGATATGTTACCGGCAATCTGTTTAATTCGGTCAATTATACACATATCCATAATATTTACATGTCTTATCGTAATATTTAGATTTACAAGCGGTGTAAATTGTAATCTTATTCAAGGGTATACAGATTTACGGTAACATACGTAATTGTATAGGTTGTTACAAAAAGGGTATACAATACAAGTTGTAAGGGGACATCATTCTGTAATGAAAAAAAAAATCGACTTTCTATACAAATTGCTGACGCAGCTTTCTGACTTAGTATGGAAGGTAAAAAAAAACTGCCTTACTATAATTTCTACATATTTTTTTTTCTAGATAACTTTAATAATTATTTTGCCATGCAACGGCACCGTTCGTTATAAAATATTCTGCAAATTGGTCTCTTATATCCTTGGCGGAAAGAAGTGTTCTTCTTGGACGATTTTGCAGAGGCAGTAAGGAAGTAACTCCGCTTTGGTCGTCGCGCCAAGAACTGGGCTGAATCTCGCCATCTTTCTCAGTATCAAAGGATCCAATAGGGCTATATATAAGTCTAGACCTTTTAGACCGTCTTAAAAAGTTGTGTAGCAATGCACAGGTCATCACAATTTTGGATACCGTATCTGGTTGTAAAAGCATAGGTTTTCTTAGTACTCTAAACACCGAGACATAATGCCAAAGACATTTTCAACAATCCTTCGGGCTCGTGAAAGGCGGTAATTAAACACGCGCTCTTTTGATCCCTTATTATGAGTTCCAGCGTAAGGTTTCATCATATTTTCTGTTAGAGAAAATGCACTGTCTGCAACAAATACCTAAGGTAGTGGTATTTCTTTCAGCGGTAAGCACTCTGGCGGTGGAAAATCCAATTCTTTTCCACAAATTTGTTTGTATAAGTCAGTGTTTCTGTATACACCACCGTCGCTTATTCGTCCCTGGCACCCGCAATCCACAAAAATAAAATTGTAATCCGCGTCGACTAAAGCCATTAATACAATACTGAAAGTTTTGTGATAGTTGATGAATTCAGACCCACTATGAATAGGACTTTGTATTAACACATGTTTCCCGTCAATAGCTCCTAAGCAGTGAGGGAAATTCCAAGTTTTGCAGAATCCTTTCTCTATCATTAACCAGCCAGATGATGTCCGTGGAAGCTAAAACAAATAAAAAAGTTATAAATTATCATGAACGTTTTTATTTTTAGGTCACTGACGACATGGAAGAAATAGAAGAAGATAACAGTGAAATAAACGCCTCTGCAGATAGAAGAATAGACGAAGTAGTCCAATTTAAAAGACCAAAAACTCTTTCTAAACGTGCCAAAAATATTGATATAGAAAAAAAAATGAATGAAGCATATGATTATTTAAAACAAGTATCCCAAAAACACCAAACTCCGCAGAATGAATGTTCGTTATACACACAATTATTATGCAAAAAATTGAGAGGCTTGCAAGAAAATACACGTGAAATTGCGATGTTGGAAATTGATAGATTGATTTTCAATCTAAAGCAAAAATAATTAATGGCAAACCCACATGCACAAGTACTAATCAATCAACCACAGCCTATGAATTTTGGACATTCCGGCAATCTCCTCTATCGATATCCTCTTCAGCAAGTACAAAGTTACAATTCAACTCCTTCACAGCCATCAATATCCTACCATCCATCACCTTCTTCACAGCCATCCCCATCCATACTATCCATATACTTTTCCACAGCCATCCCAAAATTATCGTCCATCAACTTCTTCACAGCCATCCCCATCCTACCATCCATATCCTTTTCCACAGCGATCCCCAAATTATCGTCCATCAACTTCTTCACAGCCATCCCCATCCTACCATCAATCACCTTCTCCAGAGTTACTCCCAAATACTTTCTCCCCACAGCCATCTCCGAATTCTCCTTCTCCGCAGCTGTTACATGACGAAACATTTTAGCTACGAAAAGTTTATTAAGGTCAAAGTTGATGATGTCAATTTCAATTTTTTAAGTAAGTGATATCCAGAAAATAAGACAAAAGCGGCTGAAGCAACAGCGATGCCGTCTTCTTCAGTTGTATTGCTCCATGGCTGGAGGTGGCAATTCGACTCACACGACATTTCAGGTGCGCTGCGCTAAACAGACTGACTCAGTGGCTCGGAGTTTGGGCAAGCACGCGCCACGCCGCGCCAGTTAAAATGGGTGGCGCGGGCTCGCGCGTGGCGCGTGCTTGCGCGTACAAACCAACACGGGCGGCGCGGCGCGTGATAACACACGCAGTCAGAAGCCGCCTTGATATGTCACCAGACCATTAATGCCCGCCATGTTTACAAAATTGTAAAACAGCGTGAGAGGCCATCGGTGACTGTTACGAGAAACGTCGTATTGTCTACACATTTTATCAAAAATGTCGACGCCGTATTTTGTGTGATTATAAAATATGATGATTTCAGGTTTTCTAGTATCGTCAGTCGCAGCATCAATTTTGTCATCATTGTGGAGGGTAGACAATAACAATACTACCTTATTTCGTTTTGGCACATAGCTGACAAGTATGCAATCAGGCTGAAATCCGAAGACAGATCCGTTTATTTCTCTGTTTTGTGTAGTTTTTAACAGTTCGGGTATCTCTGGTTTATTTTTTTTTAGTGTTCCTACGGTTGTAATCTTGTGAGCCACTAGTTCTTTGTATGTAGGCACACTAGTAAACCAGTTGTCCATAGTTATATTACATCCTAGGCCGAATAATGGACTTAAAATTCGGTTTACGATGTCAGACACTTTATTCGATTCTCGTAAGGGTCCTTCTGGTTGCGAGCCCACGTATATTTCAAAATTATAGGCATATGGGTATTTAAGATCCACCACCATAACGATTTTTGTGCCAAATTTGGCTGGCTTATTTCGCATGTACATCAAAAACGCGCAACGTCCTTTGAATGCTACTAATTGTTCGTCAATAGTAAGATTTTCGCTTGGAGTATAATATTTCTTACAATTATGTAACGTAATACTAGTAATTTGTCGTATAGCAGCTAGTCGGTCATTTTGTTGACGAGCTTGCCTATCTCTTACGTCATCAAAGCGGAGGGCGCACAGGAGGAATCGGCATCGACTCTTTGACATAGTCGTATACACCACTCAATGCCAGTACCTTTTGAGTTATCCCAGACGTCCTTTAGATTTCTTCGACGTCAAGTTCCAATCACCAATAAAATACCTATAAGTGCCTTGATTTCTATCACGTCGGTATAAGACGCATCTCTGTCTCTTTGGTATTTGCTTTTTATAATATCAATATAAATATTTGTTGAATCAACAAGCACGTTCCGAACATACATACATATAATCACGCCTCTTTCCCGTAGGGGTAGGCAGAGACCAGTTCTTTCCACTTGCTACGATCCTTACATACTTGTTTTGCTTCGTCCACTTTCATTATTCCCTTCATACATGCTCTACGGTTTAGGGTACTCTTGACCTGGCCTTTTTTCAAGACGTCCCTGATTTGGTCTAGAAATGTCCGCCTAGGTCTACCCCTACCAACACTTTCATTCACACTCGCCTTATAGACTTTTTCGTCAATCGTTCTTCATTCATTCTCTCGACATGGCCAAACCATCTCAGCATACCTTTCTCAATCTTTGTCACTACATCTTCTTTCAGACCACAACGTTTCCTTATCTCACTATTTCTTATCCTGTCACTCAGTTTAACTCCTATCATACTTCTTAATGCTCTCATCTCAACTGCATTTATTCTGCTTTCATGTTTCTTCTGCCATACCCAAGTTTCAATTCCGTACATGAGTGTCGGAACCAACACCCCCTCATGCACAGCCAAACGAGCCTTGTTAGACACCTTCCGACTGCTCATAAAGGAGTGTAAAGCTCCATTCACCATGTTTCCTGCATTCACTCTTCTTTCGATATCACTCTCACACTTTCCATCTCTTGTAAACTTTGAACCCAGATACACAATCTCTTTCCGAACATTAGCGTCAAAAAACGGTAGGAATGATAGGATAGCCGTTTTAGCGTCTCTTGCTACACCTAATGAGCCTGATGGACGGAGTAAGATGATGTGAGATCTCGTTCTTGAAGTGGGCGGTGCAATCTTGCTCCATTTTGTACCATTACGAGACTGATAAGAAGCCAAAGCCAATAGAGGCACGTCTTCATCTTCCTCCTCGTCTTCCTCGCCATCTTGCTCCGTATCAGAATGGTGAGGAGATCCAAGCAGGCCACTTTGTTCCGCGAATTCTCCGCCTTCCTCACTATCGCTCGAAATGTCGTCTTCTTCATTATCCTCCAGCAGCCATCTTTGTATTTGGTCACACAATCTGTTCAAGTCACCCGCCATCTAAAAAGTGAACAAAACAGAATAAAGCTACATGAAAAATCCACAAATACTAACAACAAACACTTAAAAATTAATTAACAGTACGTTTTGTAGTAATATTGCAAAAATGTATCATATTTATCTCAATTTCACCACTTGCACACTAAATACTTAATTTCCTCCAATGCTCGCGCGAGCTACAGGCGTAGCTCTACAACTTCAAGGACGATTTTTGTGGACGTCCGTGAGCCGCAGGAGTCGGCACGCTACTGGCGGGAGCAGGGGGTAATGCTTGAGGAATACACAAGACGATTGCGCTGTAGCGCGGCAAATTAAAATTATATACGACAATTTTACACGTTGGGTTACATATGTAGCCCGCGAGTGCACTCTAGTGTTAAAAATTATCTTATTACCTTGTTTTAAACAAACTGTAAGAGGTCTTGTTATTATCGCAAAATCTTTGATAAATTTGCGATAGTAACCGACTAATCCTAAAAACATTTAATTTCTGTCACTGTTTTTGGAAGAGGGTAAGTAAGTACAGCATCTATTTTATCTGTATTCGGCTTCATTCATTTGTTATTAGGGCGTCACCTCACTATTTATTGTATGACCTAAGTACAATACCTCTTTTCTTAAAAATGTGACTTATCCAGCTGTACTTTAAAGTTTGTTCTTCTAAATCTTTCAAAAACGGCTTTAGGTTTTTCTGTGTGTTCCGGCAAGCTTTTTGAAAATATAATGACATCGTTCAGATAAACTAAACAATGTATTCCCTGTAGTCCTCTCAACACGTTGTCCATTGCTCTTTGGAACGTTGCAGGAGCTGGTTTTAGCCCAAAAGGTATTCTATTAAATTCAAAGTGACCGAAAGGTGTACTAAATGCGATCTTTGATTTATCTTCTTTTCTGACGTCTATTTGGTGATAGCCTGATGCTAAGTCCAGTGTTGTAAAATATGTGCCTTTACCTAACATGTCGAATAAATTGTTAATGTTGGGTAAAAGATATTTATCATCACGCGAACATCTACACCAGTGCTACGGTGGTTGCTACGAGCTCCGCCCCCCTGCTACGCGCTACGATAATACAACTAGCTGTCACGACGCGCCTTCGCTTTCGCTTCGCTACGAGTGTACAATCGCCATGTCTAATAGTAAAATAGAGTACGCAATGAATAAATCACTCTTTGAATCCAACATACCTTGACTTACGGACGAGTTCACTGCAAAAAATTTCGTAAGCCGGCGCGTGATAAAGAAAGGTAGTCACGACCAAAACTGTGAATTAGTGACTTCAAAGAAGAAATCAAAACCATGTTTTCGACGATACTAACTACTCAAGGAAACCAACTTAAGAAAATTACCCCAGTCTTAGCTAACATCAAGGAAATTAACAACAATATTGAAAAATCGATGGCTTATCTCGCTGCCCAAAACGAAGAGCAGAAAAAAAAATTAGACGGATTCGAGCTTCAAGCCAAGAAAGATAGGAAATACATAACTTTTTTGGAAGACAAAGTTGAGGATATGCAGAGAGAAAATAAAAAATCAAATATACAAATTAAAAATGTTAAGAAAGTTGCCAATAAAAGTGAGAAAGAATTATTAAACATGGTAATGAAAGTATCGGAGAATGTAGGCTATTCCATTACGAAGGCAGATATAAAAGACATCTACAGAGTTAAAAACAAGAAAGATGAAAACAATAGCCCGTTTGTAGTGGAATTATTGTTCACCATCTTAAACAAATACTTCTTAAGATCCATCAAGACATTCAATATAAGGCACAAAGTGAAACTCTGTGCCAAGCACTTGGGACTCACCAAAAACGAGTACACACCTATATACAATTTCGAACAGTTGACCGCCAAAGGTGCCCGACTCCACTTCCTCGCACGAGATCTGGTAAAATCTGATAATGACTGCTCGTTTACAGGAATAAATAAAGTTGCTTATGTTGAATACTTAATGTATCTCGTTGACCAGCGTCTTTCTTGGCACCTGCATGTAGAATTGACCATGAAAAGAATGAGAAAGCTCATCTGGACTTAAAATTTTAAGTCACATTGCGAGTAAAGTATTACTTGCTCAAACATATGTTGCATTCGCTCAATCCATACTGGTTTACTGCATATCAGAGTAGGGTTAGGCTGATAAAACTCAAAGGTTGCTGATAAAAGCAATGCTTCTAAAACCATATAGATATACCCCACCGAAAAACTTTATCGGGAAGCTAATCTTCTTTCAGTTAGAAAGCTATACATATTGGACATTGTTCTTAGGATGCACAAATCTCTTCCCTTTGATGCTAAATTGCTAAACAGAAGAAGAAAGTATAAAGTTGCCTTAGTTTCCACAGTAAAATCAGACTTTGCAAGACGGCAGTAACATATGCAGTCTACCTCAATCTACAATAAAATAAATAAGCATCTTAACATATTCCATCATAATAAAAAAGATTGTAAGAAAACGGTTTTGGAATGGCTAAAATCAAAGAGTTACATTGAATACAGAACTGATATTTAATAACTAACATATCATTAGTACGTGTAGGTATCCATAGGTCTTATAGCGCATACAGGTTTCACTAATACTATCACCTAAGGTGAGTATACAAGCACGCGCACGCACACGCACACGCACACGTACACGTAAACGCACACGCACATGCAGCAGAAGGAAATGAAATAACAATTATACATGTAAACTGGCTTGTTTTAGCGCATATTAGTTGTAATTTAGTTTTCTATGTAACTGATTGTATAAAGAGCGGTTCTTCCTACCACATGCGATGTTTTGCCTAAAGGGGAGTCTCCACAACTAATATTTGTAAAAGACAAGTTACTGAAATAAAATATTTGAACTTGAATTTGAATTCGTCGATAATCGATGTCTATTCTCCATTTTATGTTTGATACCCGATGCGTCAATTTTTTTGGTACTAGATAAACCGGTGTACTCCAAGGAGAGTGGGATTCCTGAATAAAATTATCTTTTAGCATTTTTTCTACCTGTCTTTTTATTTCTTCCGCTTGGACCCCTGGTAGACGATGAGCTTTAATTTTAATTGGATCTTCGTTTTTAGTCCTAATCTCGTGTTTTACTTCATTAGTAAACGTCAAAGGTAAATGTTTGCAGTAGAAAATATCCTTATATTCTCTACATAATTATTCTATTGTATTTTTCTCCCCTTCATCCATATGATCTAACCGCAACTTTTTTAAATTTTCATTAAGTAGTTCGTTTACTTCCCGGTGATTTGCAAAATTTAAATTCGTTTCATTGTTTTTCTTTATTAATGTGGATATTTCAAATGGTTCCACTTTAAAAGGTGACGTAACTACCAGTTTTTGTTCTATGTCGGTACAATTTTGTATTACTGTAGTAGCGAAACTACTTTCACAATTAACCAGAGCTGTCTGCATTCTCACAGCTTCGCAAAATTTTACGTAATTCAAAATTGCTTCTCCATTACTAAGTTTTACTGGTAATGAGACTCTAAGTTCACATCTTGGAGGCAACATATATGTTTTTTTATCGGTGGTGAATAAATTATAGGGATTTTAGCATTTTTTGTAATCAAAGTTAAGTTTTTCATAACAATAGAAGGGTCTAAAACTTTTAATGATTCGCTTCCTATGAAGCCATCATGTCTTTCGTCCACATTATAAACGTAGAATTTGTTTTATCTGAGTTTTAAAAATGCTAGGCAAGGTAATATAAACACCTTCCTTATGTCTACTTGACACATGAGTGCTGATAACTTCAAATGGCTCAAACAGTTTCAAACTTTTATAATAATAGTTTTGCTACCTCTGGGCGATAAAGGATCTTGTGCTCCCCGGGTCTAACATGACAACTGCATTCAATTTTGGTATACGTACCGGGTGTCCGGTGGCTATTTTCACATTTCAAAGGATGATATAAAAACAAATACAAAAGGTTTCTAAATTATTTTTATTCTCATAGAAAGAACATTAATGTGAGTTTCCTTTTTAAAAAATAACATTTTCTAAATATCCACCTTCTTAGGGCAAACACTCTTCCCATCTCACACGCATATTTTCGAAAACACGTTTACAGAGATCGTTAGAAATATTCAAAACTTCGGTCCGGATATTTTCTTTCAGTTGAGCAGTGGTGGTCGGTTGGTTTTGGTAAACGATGCTCTTCAGGTAGCCCCATAAAAAAGCCACATGGACTCAAGTCGGGCGATTGTGCTGGCCAGGGGATGTCACCGTACCGAGAGATGATTTTTGCTGGGAACAATTCCCTTACAACATTCATGGAGATGTGTGCGGTATAAGCGGTGGCGCCATTTTGTTGAAAACAGCTGTTTCTGTTAGCAATAGAACTGTTGCGTAGTTTGTCTCTCAAAAAACCGTTGACTATCTCACAATATCTTTCTGAATTAACGGATATTGCCCGACCACGACTGTCTTCAAAAAAATAAGGACCAAGAATTTCTTTCCCTGATATAGCGCACCAAACTGTTACCTTATCTGTATGCAATGGTTCTTGATGCAATTCTTTTGGATTCTCAGAATTCCAGTAACGGTAATTTTGTTTGTTTACATAACCGCCTAAATAAAAATGGGCTTCGTCACTGTAAAAAACGTTCAGCAGTCGTGTTTCCGTACAAAAAGTTGTTAACATTCGTTCGGCATAAGATAACCTTGCTTGGTAATCATTTTCGTTAAGTTTTTGGGTTATTTGAATTTTATACGGATGTAACTTGAGCTTTTTTTTGATTATTTCGTGCAATGTTGATCTAACAACACCTAAAGCTGCTGATCGTGCTCTTAGTGACATCCGTGGATTTTGCAAAACTGAATCACTCACACGTTGGATGGTTTCTGCAGTCGATACAGATGCAACTGGACCTTGGCGACGCATGTTTACAGCTGAGCCTGAAGCACGAAATCTTGCTACCCAATAACGAATTAAAGTTTTTGAAGGAATATTACTTATTCGTGGAAGATTAAAATGATTACGGAATTTCCGTTGCGCCGCAAT